ATATAGTCACATTGCATTTTCTCAATGATCCAAACAACTGCATCACCAAGCTTAAGTTGTGGTCAGTCTGCCCACCCAAACCAATCTTGCTTTCATTGTTGCAGCTGATGGGCTCAGAACGGAGGGAGATGCAGAAGCGACAGATGTCTGCAGCCCAGGAGACATCAGACTCCCTCCCGGGCCAGCACGGAGTGGGGAACCGAGGATCCAACGCTTGCTGCTTCTGCTGGTGCTGCTGTTGTAGCTGTTCATGGTGAGGTTTGGGGCTTTGTCGTTAATGTGCTCCTGGTTGAGAAATGCTGCCTCTTGTGCCAGCTTGTGATTAATTCAATAGTGTTTTTTAAACCACTACCATATGTCTGACACCGATTTGGGTTCTGTGAAGGTCAACAACAAAAACGAGGAGGCTACATCCTAGCTCTTGAGGGACCTATATTCAAATTCCTGAAATCAGGCTGATGTTGTTAAAACACTAAAGAAGAACCTAAGGAAGTTGATGATTGAATATTAATATTTGGGCAGAAATTAAGATGGGTCTTAAAGGTTAGGGCTATGAAGTACAAAGAGCCTAGATTTTATAATCTGCTGCTTTTGCCTTATTAATTTTTTTGTTTTTTAATAAAGTGTCAAAATATAGGCTAACTTACTGGTAAAAGAAAAAACACACAATCATTGCTTAAAAAGATATACAATTTGAAAATAAAACACCTTTGACCGTTTCAGTAAATCAGTTAAAAGTCTAGAGAAATGTATATGACTTATACCTAGAAATCATAGGAACATTAGATTGCATTTCTAAAATATTGGATAAGAAAAGTGCTTAGGGCCAGCTAACTGTGTACATAACTTTAGGCAATTCAATGATCGCAAATTTATGTAGGCTTGACTACAAGTTGAACCAAGAGCTCACTATCCAGTGAAGAAGAAAAATTAATATAGGGACTGATCAAGAATAGTGACAGAATTGGGGGTGGAGTGAAGATTGAAGATGAACTGTCCAGGAAAGTTAGGTCTGCTCCGCTTCACTTGGGCTGTTAATAATTTCCATGAAGTTCCAATCTGGTGGATGAGATGCAGCAAATGACACTCTCAGGACCGATGGAATCATGATGCTGGGTGTGGCCATTCTTCGAACCAGAGGCTAGACAGCAAGTGGGAATATGGGGAGACAGGACTGACAAGAGCTAAGCAGTCTGACATTCAAGGTAAAACTTCATCCTCAAGTAGAATCTAGAGGACCAGCAGGAAACTGGAGGAGTGGCACACATTGTCACACCCTACACACGTGACTGTTCGGTGGAGAAAATACCCACGTAGGGAGGGTTATACTGCGTTGAACAAAGAATGCAAATGAAGAATTTCAGGAGATAAATTTAAAAAATGACTAAAAGAAAAATTATCAAATGAAATAAAACAGAAAATATAACCCACTTGTGCTTCTACTAACAAGGATCAGATATATGGAAGTTAAATATATACCCTCTAGCCCTGGCCAATGTGGCTCAGTTGGTTAAAGCATCATCCTGTGCACTGGAGATTAGGTTAGATTCTCGGTCAGGGCACATACCCAGGTTGCAGGTTTGATCCCCAGTCTGGGTGCATATGGAAGGTAACCAATCAATGTTTCTCTCTCTCTCCTCCCTTCCTTTCTCTCTCTAGAATCAATGAAAAACATATCCTTGGGTGAAAAAAACATAAAACAAACCTCTAAATATAAGACCCTACCCTAGAAAAACCTCACACATGTGCAAAAGGAGATGAGTATGTAGCATTAATCTGACTGAGAAAAATTGAAAATGTCTCTAAAGTTTATGAACAGGAGAATACATTGTGGTATAGTTAAACAATGCAATACTGCACAGCATTTAAATTCATGTGCTAAAAATAAATACATACATAAATAAATAAATTCATGTGCTAGAGCAGGAAAAGGCAAATTGTAAAGCAGTGCATATTGCATAATAACATTTTTACAAAGTTGAAAATATCTTTGTGTATTTATGTTTATCCTATATAATAAAAACCTAATATGCTAAGTGTCCGGTCATCCAGTCAGCCGTTCAACCAATCAAAGCGTAATATGCTAATGATATGCTAAGGCTGCTCAACCACTCGCTATGATGTGCACTGACCACCAGGGGGCAGACGCTCCAACCAGTAGGTTAGCTTGCTGCTGGGGTCTAGCCAATCAGGACTGAGCAAGATAGGCCAGACATGCCCTGAAGCACTCCCGGGGTCCTTTCCTGGCTGGCCCACCTCCTGCATCTCTCCCTGGCCCCAATCATGCACTGGTGGGGTGCCTCGGCCTGGCCTGTGCCCTCTTGCAATTCTGGACCCCTTGGGGGATGTCGGAGAACTGTTTTCGGCTCCATCCCGCAGGCCAGGCCGAGGGACCCCACTGGTGCACGAATTCATGCACCAGGCCTCTAGTAACTTATATATTATACATTTGTATGTAGAGAGACTAACATGTATGGTAATGATAAACAACAAATTAAGGATGGTATTTATCTCTAGGTTGGACAGAGGGGAAATGGGATGGAAAAAGTATACAGCCAGAGATTTATCCCTGTTGATAACACACAGTAAAGTCAATTATTAAGGAAAGGTAAATGGCACTTTGTTCTCTAAGCCTTTGTATTATCTTTCTCAAAATTTTGCTTTATGGCCTTCTGGCATCTCATTTTATAAAAGAAGTCATGCAGATTGCTGTTCTCTTAGCAATAAAATAATTTTTTTCCTTTCTAGAGGATTTTTTTTTCCTTTTTATAACTCAAAAATTTACCAAAATAATTTTGCTTTATGGCCTTCTGGCATCTCATTTTATAAAGGAAGTCATGCAGATTGCTGTTCTCTTGGCAATAAACTAATTTTTTTCCTTTCTAGAGGATTTTTTTCCTTTTTATAACTCAAAAATTTAACAAAATGTATCTAATCAGGGGTCTTCTTTTACTGGTGAGCAACTATTTTGGCTTCTATCAACATTTTCTAATTTTACTGTAGCAATAATAACTTAACTCTGGTTTTAAAAATTGACACAAAATATGTTCTTCAGTTTTTTAAAAAAATACATTGTCTCCTTAAATATTTCTACTTTTTAAAAAATGAGACATGGAAAAATGTCAAAGCTTAAATAAATATTGCTTATTTAGTTCACAAAGGAATTTCCAGTTCTTTTAGGAATATTGTATCAAATTCATCCTTCACTTTCTCTTTGCTTTTTCATCCCTACTGTGCAGTAATGTTTTCTGCTTACGAAAGAAGCCTTGGAAGTCAATCAGTATTAATTCTCCCACAGAGAGAACACCACCCAGATGCCTCTCAAGTTTGTTTTTGTTTTGTTTTAAGCAACCATTATTTAGTGACAGTTTTTAGCCTTGGCATCATGAAAGCAACAAGTAAGAAGAGTTTCTAATGACTTTGCATTTAAAGAAAAATAGAGCAACACACACACACAATCACTGAAAATTCTTAAGCAGATGTGTTGAAAATAGACTGAAAGGCTTGCAAAATGGTGCAAAGAGAGTTAAGGAAAGATGTAATAAAAGGAATAGAAAAGATAATATAGTAGTGATAGAAAGATAAAGTAAACTCAAAAGCAGTGATAAAATCAATTTTTATATTAATGGGAAACTAAAAGCATTCCTGCTAAAATCAAAAACAAGGTGAGGCCTGACTGGCATGGTTCAGTGGTTGAGCGTCCAACTATGAACCAGGAGGTCACGGTTCAAGCAAATACCCAGGTTTCGAGCTGGATCCCCAGTGTGGGGCATGCAGGAGGCAGCCAATCAGTGACTCTCTCTCTCATCACTGATACTTCTTTCTCTCCCTCTCCCTTCCTTTCTGAAATCAATAAAAATATATCACACAAAAAAACCCAAAAAACAAAAACAAGGTGAGGATGCCTATACCCCTACTCTTTAGCATTGTACTATAGGTATCATCAGCCAATGACATTAGACAAGAGAAAATGACTGGAGGCCTAAAAACTGGAAAATAAGAAGTAACTCTCCCTATTTGCAGATGATACGAGAATATACCTGGAAACCCCAAGAGAGTTATAGCTAAACTGATGCAAACAAAAAAGAATTCAATAAAGCCCTGGCCGGTGTGGCTCAGTTGGTTGGGCTTTGTCCTGTGCACCTGGGTATGTGCCCTAACAGGGAATCGAACCCACAACCCTTCGGTGCTTCAACCCACTGAGCCACACCAGCCAGGGCTGGCTGGGCTTCTTTTTAGGGTGATGAAAATGTTCTAAAATTAGATATTAGTGATAGCTATACAACCTTGTGATTATGCTAAAGACCACTTAATTGCACACTTTAAATAATTAGCTTTGTGATATATAAATGATGGTTTACTAAAGCTATCAAGAAAGTAATAGCCTTCATATGTACAAATAATAATCAGTTAGGAGATGAGATAGAACTGAAAATTCCATTTACAATAATAACAAAAATACTTGGAGTAAATTTACAAAGTTATGTACCAAATGTATATAAGGAAACTTGAACTCTCTTGAACAATATAGATTTTGATGATTTACTTTCCTGGTACTCTCTGGTACTTTCGTAGGTGTGCCTATCAATATATTAAACCTCCATTTTGACTGCAAACAAAGTCTGGAGAGTATATACTTGTTTTCGAGGTGCAAGAAATGAAATCAATAAATAAAAATATTTAGAGAAAAAGCAAAAGCAAAACATTCCTGATGATCTCACCTTTTTATTATTTTTTAATGGGCATGTTTTTATGAAAAGAAATATTACTCTAAATGTAAACTCTCTCTTGATTAGTGTAGACCACAGTATTATAAATGTAATTTATTTTTGCTAATACTTTATTGTCATATGGTTTTCTTAAGAAAACCAATCAGAGTCCTGTTTTGAAGAAAAGAAGTTCCACTTGGTAATCTGGAGTTCTCTTTAGAATATCTGTTAAAAAGCTTTCTTTGATAAAGAATGGTCTCAACTGACACATTAATGTCGTATTTTGTGCAGTCTCACTGTTAGAAATCAAGAACAGGGGCCCAGGAGGGCTTCCCATGAACTCAGAAGAGACGACCTTCCAACCTGGGAAGAAAGGTAAGATCTCATGTGTTCAGCTCACTAAGTTGACAGAAATGCCTACCTTATTATTTTTTTCCGCTATATGTTTTAATGAACACATAATTTCTGTAACTGCAAGTTAGCAATATCAAGTCATAACTCAGCATCACATTTTCACTGCAGATTTCCTTTTAATTCATTGTGTGACAGGGAGAAAAATCAGTTCCATCATTAATCTAATACCTACTAATCTCAAATATAAGTTGATGCTTCTTGACAAAGCGTATGATGTTATTTGATTTTTATATGGTATGCTTTTTAAAAAAGACTATAATAAAACATACACATTGGTTTTCAGGAAAATTTTAAAAGTCCATCTTTTTCTTAACTATTATACTTCCATTAATGTATTGTTTTTAAAATTTCAGAAAATGCACATAAATTACTTTCCATAATGCCAGATTTTAATATTCTCTTTTCCCACCTGTAGTATCAATTGATTTACTTTTATCTACATATTCTTAGACCTTTTCTTGGAATTTTGCCTATATAATTGCAAATATAAAACCAATATCCTAAAAGCACTGTTCAAATAGGTCTTGTATTAAATGTTTATTTTTGAGATTTATTTACTTTGAGAGAAAAAAGGGAAGTAGCCTAAAAGGTTGATTAAATATTTTTCTTCATTCTTTATCTTAGTTATTCTTATCCAGATTTTAAAAAGTCTGGGAAGCACATTAAAATCTTCCGCAACTTATGAGTTTCTTAAAACAGCCTTTATCTTGTATATTCCAGTATCATGTATTCTGTACCAAAGCTTGAGGCTGTTACATCTGAAACCACAATGCCTACATCTAGTCCTGGCTATACCCCTCCCGCCAGTGGAACCTTGAGACCTTGGGCACTTAGTAGTCACATTATGTCTCAGTTTCCTTATGTGTAAAGTGGGGGTGATAATAGTTTGTTGTTGCTAAGCCAAAGAAGGGTTGTTGTATCTGTCTCTGTTTGTAAGAACACCCCTCATAATGGAGTACATCTATAAGGATCCTATTTTCAAATAAGGTCACATCCAGAGATATTGAAGGCTAGGACTTCAACATATCTTTTTCCAGGCATAAAATTCAACCCAATAACAACTTCCTACAAAATAACACTGGAGCCAGTTGGTTTCACAGATTAGTTCCACAAAACATTTCAGGAATTGATCATTCCAAGATTACACGAGTCTCATATAATTACCCAAATGTCTAAGAGGCCAGTGTAACAGTGAAACCAAAATCAGATGAGGATAGTACAAGAATGGAAAATGAGAGATGAATCCTGCCCAGGAACTCTGAGCTGGCCACATACAGCAGCACGGGTGAATCTTAGACACTTAGTGTTGGGTGGAAAAAGCAAGCTGTAGGAGACATTTTTATAGACTTCAAAGAAAAAAAAAATAGCCCAGCCTGCATGGCTCAGTGGTTGACCTATGAACAGGGAGGTCACCGTTCAATTCCCAGTCAGGGCACCTGCCCGGGTTACAGGCTCAATCCCCAGTGTGGGGCTTGCAGGAGACAGCCAATCAATGATTCTCTCTCGTCATTGATGTTTCCATCTCTCTCTCCCTCCCCCTTCCTCTTTGAAATCAATACAAATATATTTTTTTAACTAAAAAATACATTGTTCCGGGATACATACATACATAGAAATGAGGGGGACAGGGTAATGGAAAAGAAATAATAAAGGTCATTGTTAAACAGATTGTGTTTTCTGACCTCAGTATAATGAAATGTAAGTAAAAAATCAACTGGAATAGGGCAAACCCAAAATCAAGAATAGAGGTTCCCTCAGACCTGGGGACCAGAGGGCAGTGAGTGAGTGTAGTGTCAAGGTAAGTGCAGCTCTCGGCGACGACCTGGTTCTCAAGGTAAATGGTGAATTCATGGATGCTCATTTCCGTTGTCACCCTTCATAACCTGCAGTTTTATAACTCATATTCTTTTCTCCTCTTTAAAATTCTCTTTTGAGTGTTAAAACATACTAAATAGGTACTGCCCCACTGCTATTCTGGAAGTCAGTGTGGTCAGGGCTGACTCGGGTCTGTCATGTGACTAGGGAATTTTTGCTCAGATGATTATAGGATTTTTCTTTTCCTCTATAATTTAAAAACTTTTCCAGGACATGCTTAGATATAAACAAGTATGTGCTGAGCAGTTATTGTAGCAATTTGGCTCGCCAGCCTTTGGGCAGTAGCCATGCAATCCAGCTAAACAATGTGAGAGTATCAAACTCATGTGTTTTTGCTAAAGGCTTAAGGAAACAAAAACAGCTCTTTCCCTTCCTGAAAGGTCCAAAGTGCACATTTTCATTCTCAGAGAGGAAAAAGATAGGTTTCCAGTGATGAAATCCAGATGAACTACCAGTAACATGGCTCCCTTTTGCCCTTTCTTCTGGTCTCTGCAAAGCCCAACTCCTACTCTGGAAGAGGTCAGTGCCTGGGCGCAGTCCTTCGACAAGTTGATGCTCACCCCAGCAGGAAGGAACGCTTTCCGCGAATTCCTCCGGACAGAATTCAGTGAAGACAATATGCTTTTCTGGATGGCGTGTGAGGAACTGAAAAAAGAAGCTAATAAAAGCATTATTGAGGAAAAGGCAAGGACAATATATGAAGACTACATTTCTATTCTTTCTCCTAAAGAGGTATGTACCTACCAAAAGGTTTTGTTCCAGGAACCCATGGATAAAATGAACCCTTCTGTGTTTGGTCACCTGGCAGTTAAAACTACTCCAAACATAGGAAATGACTTTACCTCCTATCCATAGTGCTGTTACCCGTTACCCTTGAACAACCCTGCTTTGTTTTGTTTTTAATGAAACATATATGACACTAGAGGCCTGGTGCACAAAATTCGTGCACAGGTAGGGTCTCCAGGCCTGGCCGTTGATCAGTGCCGACTAGGGCCTTCAGGCTGCTGGCCGGGGCCTTCTTTCCCCTCGCTGCCAGCTGCTGGCCAGGCCTTCCTTTGTTCCGTGCCACCCCCTGGTGGTCAGCACACGTCACAGTGGGCAGTCGAACTCCTGAGGGGACAATTTGCATGTTAGCCTTTTATTATATAGGATTTTATTGATTTCAGAGAGGAAGGGAGAGACAGAGAGATAGAAACATCAATAATGAGAATCATCCATCGGCTGCCTCTTGCACACCACACACAGGGGATCGAGCCCACAACCCAGGCATATGCCCTGACTTGGAATGGAACTGTGACCTTCTAGTTCATAGGTGGATGTTCAACCACTGAACCACATTGGCTGGGCAAGAATCCTGATTTTAAGTGTGCAGGTTTTTTTCCTAATAAATACAGGAGAGTACTTTAAATATATTTTCTCTTCCTTGTCATTTAATAACATTTTCTTTTCTCTACCTTACTTTATTATGAGAATATCTATAATAATAAAAGCATAATATATAAACCATACAGCCGAACGACCTTCCGGATGAAGCCAGGGCTGTGAGGGCTGAGGTAAGCTGCCACAGCTGCGAGGGCCAAGCCCCTTGCACGAATATCGTGCATTGGGCCTCTAGTCGTATATAAAACACATAACATCTAAAATATGAGCTAATCAACTATTTATGTTACCAATAAGGCTTCCAGTTAACAGTAAGCTATTAGTAAAGTTTTGGGGAGTCAAGGGTTATACATGGATTTTCACCTGCATGGGGTCAGGGTCTCTACCCCTTGTGTTGTTCAAGGGTCAAGTGTATTCTAATTCCTTTGACCATGGTCCCACAATGGGCTCCAAGTACACCCTGAAATCTGGGAAAGATTTTGTCCATTTTTCTGGAGAAAGTATCCATAACTTTCATCAGATTCTCCAAAAGGGGTAGTCTATGCATTTCACTATTAATACTGTTTAAAAATAGTATAAGCATTTCTTTAAATAAAAGTATCCCTTTATTCTGATTCAAAATCTTTTTTATAGTATCTTTATTTTAACTTATTTTTAAATTTTTATTGTTGAAAGTATTACGATGTCCCCTGGTATCTTTATTTTATTTGGTAGCATCACTAACGTGATACTGATTCTTCCAAGTTTTCCCCAGAGTGTCCTTTTTTAATATCAGAGAAATTATGAGTGAAATCAAGCAAGTTTTCATCTCTCAAGAGTTTTTGTTCTTTCAATTCCAAAATCTAGTTTGGATTGATCAAAAAACTAAGTGCCTTGTGGTTCTAGTTATAAAATCATTCATTATTTCCAAATATGTGCTAAGAATATAAAGTTAATGAAACATTGCCTCTCCTGCCAGAGAACTCTCACATAAGGGGGCAGAGTGACTTGGAGCCCTCCACCCTCACCCCCACCAATGCCTCAGGATCCTAATGGGCTGGTGCACTGAGCAATCAACAGTGGGGTGGGACAGGAATGATGGAGACACACTGAAGAGGCATTAGACGGACCCAGGGGGGGACCCAGAATCTGTTTTAAGGAGGCTTCTAGGAGCTTTTGAAGCCACTGGAATTTGAGAACCTCATTATGTGTTTAGTTTCTCTTTGGCAGGCTCAATTTTGGGGTGACTTTGGGATTTTTAAAAATATATATTTTATTGATTTTTTACAGAGAGGAAGGGAGAGGGATAGAGAGTTAGAAAAATCGATGAGAGAGAAACATCGACCAGCTGCCTCCTGCACACTCCCCACTGGGGATGTGCCCACAACCAAGGTACATGCCCTTGACCAGAATCAACCCGGGACCCTTCAGTCTGCAGGCCGATGCTCTATCCACTGAGCCAAAACGGTCAGGCATGGGTTTGGGATTTTTAAAAATCAGAACAAGCTACGGGAATTTGGGATGGATTTCCAAAGAGAAACGTATCTAATACAACTCTTATTTGTTTCTGTTCACAGGTCAGCTTAGACTCCCGAGTCAGAGAAGTCATCAACAGGAACATGGTGGAGCCATCCCAACACATATTCGATGATGCACAACTTCAGATTTACACCTTAATGCACAGAGACTCATATCCCCGATTCATGAATTCTGCTGTCTATAAAGATTTGCTCCAGTCCATATCTGAGAAATCCGTTGAAACATAGGATGTTATCAACTATATTTATTATTAATAAAATAATAAAGACTCATGGACTATGTCTAGTACAGGGAATTTAGAGGTAGCAGCCAGGGTCTTCTGCTGGTCTAATACGGGGCTATTTTAATAACAGATGCTTCCTTCCGCAGAAGGCTACATGTTCACAGTGTAAATTGCAGCCACCGTTAGTGCTACTTATGAAAAAATGGACATGGCTGTCTTAGAAAGATAGTATATTTACATTTACAATAACAGTGGCACGTTCTGAATGGCAAGGGATCCACTACAAGACTCCACCTACCTGGAGCATGGACACCCACTGGGGCACCAGGACTGCTTTTCTTCTGCGTGAGTTCAGTACCTGATTACTCTCTTCCCGAAGAAAAGACATTCAGCTGTTTCTCAACTACCCCCTCAGTCCATCAAGCTGAGTTTTGGATATTTCACTTACCAGGGCTATTACAGGACCCAAATTCCCATTTCATAAAGATGTGACCACTTGTAAAAAATGGACTTCCCCTTAATCTGAGATTATATGTATGTAATACATAGATGTGTGTGTGTATCTATCCATGGTTAATGTGAAGCACGGTGCTCTGAAGTGCATCCATCTCAATGTTTGGTAAGAGAAGTAGTGCTTAGAAAATTATTTTGTTGAAAATTTACCATTATTTTATCAGAATCTGCCAACCTAACACATGAATTTTTAAGTTCACAACTTGGTCATGTTCCTAACAAAACTTTCAAAGAAGCATATTTCCATTTTATTCTTGAAAGAAATGAGGGCATTTTCACTCTAAAAAATAAAGCACAAGTCTTAACCGGTTTGGCTCAGTGGATAGAGCGTCGGCCTACGGACTGAAGGGTCCCAGGTTCGATTCCGGTCAAGGGCATGTACCTTGGTTGCGGGCACATCCCCAGTGGGGGATATGCAGGAGGCAGCTGATCGATGTTTCTCTCTCATCGATGTTTCTAACTCTCTATCTCTCTCCCTTCCTCTCTGTAAAAAATCAATAAAATATATATTTAAAAAAAATAAAAATAAAAAATAAAGCACAAGAGTTTTACTTCAATCTTTACTTTTTTCACATACAAATACTTGGGTAATAGAAGATTAAGTAGGGATACATGCAAGGTATCTTTTAGCTCCCACACAAGGAATTTGTTTTTAAATCCCACTATTTTTATGATAGGCAAATGAAGTAACTTCATAGTTGACTGATAAAAATACTGGTCTGTAGACCTAAAAATTTTGAAGAAACCCATCACTAAAATGAATGGGAAAGACATCTAAAATGAGGTGATTGCGAAAAACACCCAAATCTGGAATGGTTTGAGTAGTGGGTTAGAAATTAATTGGCAAGAGCCCATAGCACACTTCAGCCCTAAATGAGGTGCTTTAAAAAAAAAAAGTTGATTTTTTCCCCCTCTTTTTTAGTGAGAGGGAGGGAGGAGAAAGAGAAACATCAATGTGAGAGCATAACATTCATCGACTGCCTCCTGTATAACCCTTACTGGGAATCAAGCCCACAACCCCGGCATGTGCGTGACCAGGAATCAGACCAGAAATCGAACCGGCAACTCTCCATGTATGGGATGATGTCCAACTGAGTCACACGGGCCAGGGCATAGGATGCTCTTCTCTTGGTGATCTCCCGCACTTGGCTCTTCAGCCTGACCATTTCTGAATTACTCTGTTCAAACCCCAAACCTAACCCCCTCGCCCTTATTTTCTTGGTAAACCATTTTACCTCCTACTCTATTATGACAATTGTGTCCCTAACCCCCTTCAACTTCCTGTGTAACCTATAAATATGTATAGATCAGCATCTATTCCTGCCTCCTTCAGTCCTGTTCCAGAGAATAATGTGTTTTCTCCTTTTCAAGGCATCAACCCCTTACCTAGGAGTCTCACTTTTTTCATTAGACAAAGAGGACATAATTGTGATTAAGGCATAACCCCTGCCCTCTAATAGTTTTCATTCAGGTAAGGACAGACGTGCTCATGGCATCTAAAGTACTAACTTAGTAAGTACTCTAACTATATGTAGTAAGCATTCTAACAGTGAAGAACTGAGCTACGGAAGTCTTGAAGAGCAATGGAAAGATTTTTTGTGTGTTTTTTAAACAGTAGGAGTTACCTTTTATTTTATTTTTTTAAATACATTTTTTAAAATATATTTTTATTGATTTCAGAGAGGAAGGGAGAGGGAGAGAGATAGAAACATCAGTGATGAGACAGAATTATTGGTCGGCTGTCTCCTGCACGTCCCCTACTGGGGATCGAGACCACAACTGGGGCATGTGCCCTTGACCAGAATCGAACCTGGGACCCTTCAGTCTGCAGGCCGATGCTCCATCCACTGAACCAAACCAGCTAGGGCTTTTTAAATACATTTTTATTGATTTCAGAGAGGAAGGGAGAGGGAGAGAGAGACAGAAACATCAATGATGAGAGAGAATCACTGGTTGGCTGCCTCCTGCATGCCCCCTACTGGGGATTGAGCCTAAAACCCGGGCCTGTGCCCTCGACCAGAATCAAACCCAGGACCCTTCAGTTCACAGGCCAACATTCTATCCACTGAGCCAAACTGGCTAGGACTATGGAAAAGTTTTAACAGAGGTGACAGCAAAACTAAAACCAATAGAACCAAGGGTTCAGAAAAAGAGAAGAGAAACATCCTCTGTACTACTGTTCAACACTAGCTTTTTCTTAAAACCAGCAGGCATCACTTAATTAAAACTGTACTTTAAGAACACCTTACTGGAGGAGAAACCAAGATGGCGGCATAGGTAAACACCGGAGATTGCTGCCGCGCACAACCACTTCAAAAATACAACTAAAAGACAGAACGGACATCATCCAGAACCACAGGAAGGCTGGCTGAGTGGAAATTCTACAACTAGAAGGAAAGAGAAAAGCATACCGAGACTCAGAGGAGGTGTGGTGCGGAAGTAAAATACTAAGGTGCGGAGTGCATGCGGAGCGGGCTGGCGGCTGAGGACACAGTTGTCTTTTTCAATCGGGAGGGAGTCTCAAGCTCTGCGCTCCAGTTCCGGGCGAGTCTCTGGGGACCCAGACTCATACGGGAGAAACGGGTCTGTCTGGCATCGGTTGGAACTCGAGGGCAGCTTTCTCTCGGAGGTGCTCGCAGCGATTGCTGGGACACTGAGAAGCAGGGCCTCTGAGGGCAGGACTGAGAGCAGCCATAACTGCTCGCTCCACCCTGTTGATCCCCTGGGGCCCCGCCCTGCCCAAGCCCTGCAGGGAGGCTTTTGCATATGAAAGGCCCGGCCCTTTGCAATCTGAAAATTACTTAACAAACTGCAGCTGCCCCAAGGCCCCACGGCAACTTGCATTGCTTCACAGCTGGCTTCTGCTAGGTAGCCTCAGGCAGAGGCTAGATTAGCACCTCCTTAGAGATCCAGGAGCCAGTGTGCCCAGTGGTCAGAGTGGGACCATCCAGATTGCAGCTCC